GCAGGCCGGGCATGACCTGGCCTTCCACAAGAGGTAGTTCCCCTTGCTAAGCTTTTCGGCTGGTGGAGGTCCGAGGTTGAGGACGACCGGTGCCGAGCTGGAAGACATGGCGATGGGGATTGGCTTCTGATAGCTAGACGGGAAGAGAATAGGCTCTGTATACCATGTAAGATTGAAGCGATCCTACTCCCTCGTGAGGGAGCCGCGTTGGGTTTTATTGATTGAGACAGGAAGCCCCTGTCGTGGCTTACAAGTTTCCATCTATCGCTAGGATACGATGGTTTACAGAAGAGAGGAAATCTAACCAGATACGGGAGAGAGAGAGAGAGAGAGAGATAGGACAGAGGTTGAGATTACATGAGTTTGAACTAGATTCTATCTCTAACTCTAACATTAATCATTGAGGAGTTTCACCGTGGCTTTAGGACTTAAGAGTTAGAGATGAAACATCATTGTCATAATGTGCATTACTATCTTCTTTTTCTTGCTGTCATATATTTTTTACTCTTCTCTGTAGATTGATCCCTTTTTTGTAGAAATATATTTTTTAGACTCAAGGTCATCTTGTAGAAGTGCTTTGGCGCAAGAGGAAATAGTTGCAGATACGTTTGATGGCATATCTATTATGTTTTGTGAATGTGCCTTTTGTCAAAATGAACTGAATCCATTATGTTTCATCTCTCCAACCAAACACTGGAATGTAACCATTCCATTCCATGTATTGTCTCCAAACAAACACAAGAACGGAACCGACCCGTTCCAGTGGAATGGAACCATGACATTCCATTCCACTTCGTTCCGCAACCAAACACACCCTAAGTGATCACGTGATCCAAATCAACTAAACCATGTCCGATCATCACGTGAGATGGAGTAGTTTCAATGGTGAACATCACTATATTGATCATATCTACTATATGATTCATGCTCGACCTTTCGGTCTCCGTGTTCCGAGGCCATATCTATTATATGCTAGGCTCGTCAAGTTTAACCTGAGTATTCCGCGTGTGCAACTGTTTTGCACCCGTTATATTTAAACGTAGAGCCTATCACACCCGATCATCACGTGGTGTCTCAGCACGAAGAACTTTCGCAACAGTGCATACTCAGGGAGAACACTTGTACCTTGATAATTTAGTGAGAGATCATCTTATAATGCTACTATCAATCAAAGCAAGATAAGATGCATAAAAGATAAAGATCACATGCAATCAATATAAGTGATATGATATGGCCATCATCTTGTGCTTGTGATCTCCATCTCCGAAGCACCGTCATGATCACCATCATCACCGGCGTGATACCTTGATCTCCATCGTAGCATCGTTGTCGTCTCGTCAATCTTATGCTTCCACGACTATCGCTACCACTTAGTGATAAAGTAAAGCATTACAGGGTGATTGCATTGCATACAATAAAGCGACAACCATATGGCTCCTACCAGTTGTCGATAACTCGGTTACAAAACATGATCATCTCATACAATAAAATTTAGCATCATGTCTTGACTATATCACATCATAACATGCCCTGCAAAAACAAGTTAGACGTCCTCTACTTTGTTGTTGCAAATTTTACGTGGCTGCTACGGCCTTAGTAAGAACCGTTCTTACCTACGCATCAAAATCACAATGATAGTTTGTCAAGTTGGTGTTGTTTTAACCTTCGCAAGGACCGGGCGTAGCCACACTCGGTTCAACTAAAGTTGGAGAAACTGACATCCGCTAGCCACCTGTGTGTAAAGCACGTCGGTAGAACCAGTCTCGCGTACGCGTAATGTCAGTCCGGACCACTTCATCCAACAATACCGCCGAACCAAAGTATGACATGCTGGTAAGCAGTATGACTTATATCGCCCACAACTCACTTGTGTTCTACTCGTGCATATGACATCAACGCATAAAACCTGGCTCGGATGCCACTATTGGGGAACGTAGTAATTTCAAAATTTTCCTACGCACATGCAAGATCATGGTGATGCATAGCAACGAGAAGGGAGAGTGTTGTCTACGTACCCTCATAGACCGAAAGAGGAAGCGTTAGCGCAACGCGGTTGATGTAGTCGTACGTCTTCACGATCTGACCGATCAAGTACCGAACATACGGCACCTCCGAGTACAGCACACGTTCAACCCGATGACGTCCCTCGAACTCCGATCCAGCCGAGTGTTGAGGGAGAGTTTCATCAGCACGACAGCGTGGTGACGATGTTGATGTTCTACCAACGCAGGGCTTCGCCTAAGCACCGCTACAGTATTATCGAGGTGGACTATGATGGAGGGGGCACCGCACACGGCTAAGAGATCAATTGTTGTGTCTATGGGGTGCCCCCCGGCCCCCGTATATAAAAGAGCAAGGGGGGTGCGGCCGGCCAGGGAGAGGGCGCGCCAAGAGGAGTCCTACTCCCACCGGGAGTAGGACTCCCCCCCCCCCTTTCCTAGTTGGAATAGGATTCGGGAGAAGGAAAGAAAGAGGGGAAGAAGGAAAGAGGGGGCCAGCCCCTTGCCCTAAACCAATTCGGTTTGGGCCTTGGGGGGCGTGCCCCACACTTCCCTTGCTTCCCTTTATTTCCACTAAGGCCCATGTAGGCCCATTAAGCCCCCGGGGGGTTCCGGTAACCTCCCGGTACTACGGTAAAATCCCGATTTCACCCGGAACACTTCCGACATCCAAATATAGGATTCAAATATATCAATCTTTATGTCTCGACCATTTCGAGACTCCTCGTCATGTCCTTGATCACATCCGGGACTCCGAACAACCTTCGGTACATCAAAACATATAAACTCATAATATAACTGTCATCGTAACGTTAAGCGTGCGGATCCTACGGGTTCGAGAACTATGTAGACATGACCAAGACACGTCTCCGGTCAATAACCAATAGCGGAACCTGGATGCTCATATTGGCTCCTACATATTCTACGAAGATCTTTATCGGTCAAACCGCATAACAACATACGTTGTTCCCTTTGTCATCGGTATGTTACTTGCCCGAGATTCGATCGTCGGTATCTCAATACCTAGTTCAATCTCGTTACCGGCAAGTCTCTTTACTCGTTCCGTAATACATCATCCCGCAACTAACTCATTAGTTGCAATGCTTGCAAGGCTTAAGTGATGTGCATTACCGAGAGGGCCCAGAGATACCTCTCCGACAATCGGAGTGACAAATTCTAATCTCGAAATACGCCAACCCAACAAGTACCTTTGGAGACACCTGTAGAGCACCTTTATAATCACCCAGTTACGTTGTGACGTTTGGTAGCACACAAAGTGTTCCTCCGATAAACGGGAGTTGCATAATCTCATAGTCATAGGAACATGTATAAGTCATGAAGAAAGCAATAGCAACAAACTAAACGATCAAGTGCTAAGCTAACGGAATGGGTCAAGTCAATCACATCATTCTCCTAATGATGTGATCCCGTTAATCAAATGACTACCCATGTAAATGGTTAGGAAACTTAACCATCTTTGATCAACGAGCTAGTCAAGTAGAGGCATACTAGTGACACTCTGTTTGTCTATGTATTCACACATGTATTATGTTTCCGGTTAATACAATTCTAGCATGAATAATAAACATTTATCATGATATAAGGTAATAAATAATAACTTTATTATTGCCTCTAGAGCATATTTCCTTCACAAGGGAGGTGGAATGGCTTGTGTTACGGTGTGGAGTAAGTCGGAAGTGGCCACGTTTAAATAGCGGATTCCTGTGAGGCTAGGTGTCCGGGTGCGTCAATGTTGGGCGCCGGAGTGGGTTTCTCGTCCGATGAGCCTGCTTAACGGAGGCATATGGACGAACGGGGCATTGAACGGGCATGGTAGATATTCGTCTCGTCCCGTCCAGTAACACGTCTCTGACATTGAACAAGCGCGGACATCGGGGACGCGTTGTGGGAGGCGCCCTCGGTCGGCGCGCCGCTTCAGTGTCGGTGCCTATGAGAGGTCGCATCCACTCTGTAGCCGGCTTCAATGGGGAGCAGGCGCTCTACAGCGGCATGAATGTAGGCAATTGGCATCGAGCGGGAATGCGCGTGAGCGAGGGAGGACGGTTTTGGGTGGGCCAGGGTGGTCAGAAATGGGTGTGGCTGTTGTCCGGACGCCCGCAAAGTCCTCTAGGTTTGTCTCCAGTTTGCGGGAGAAAGTGTGCCCAGTCCACCTTGCGGACCGTTGCAGGACCGCGTTGAATGGCACAACACGTCCGGACCGCGCGGTCCGAACGGTTGCGGACGGTTTGAGGGTCGGTGTTGAAGATGCCCTTAGTCCTCTTTGTATTTAGGGTCATATTTTGACCATGATTTTAACTAATAAAATATTAAGTTGGACGTAGCAAAAATAATATCATTGAAAACTATGTTCAAACACAAATTCAACAATATAATTTTTTGTGATATGCAGAAATATTTTGTTAGTTAAATCTATGATCAAAATTTGATATAAAATACTAAGGGGACCAATAGAAGGTGGTAGCTTTGAAATGACATGTTGCAGAAAGTCGAAGAAATGGAAATAAAAGGTGTACATTTCTCCCACTGTGCATAGGTTAATTTTGATGGGGTGATCGGTGTTATCAGACTCCATTTTCTTAATGAAAATGGCGGCCAAGTGGCGCCTTCCATCGAAAAAAGTAGCGTGCTTTTTCGCTTTGACCTTTCACGTTGTGAACCATTATCGTCCATGTAGATAGACCGAGAGATCACATCAGCACTATTATTTCAAACGAAAAATAGTACATGGTCAAGATGAAAGGGTTTGCTAGTGCATCAGTGGAGCGGTTTAGGTTATAGCCGCAAATCCTATCAAATCGATAAAATAAGGCAGATCAGCTGAAGCATACAGTTTTTCCATTCTTTTAGCAGCCGAGCACCGCCTATAAATGCTCGTCGCTTGCTAATCAACCTGCAGATACATGCATACAGCAGCATGTCTGCATAGGTTTAGCTGCTACCAGTTGCAAATCAACTAATCAAGTACGAACGAGGTTAAGCATGAGGCTACTTTTGTGTTTCTGCATCTGCCTTGTCCTCCTCCTCGCCGGCTCCTCCCGCGATCCCTTCTCCGAGCGCTGCCCGCTGCGGCACCGCCGGCAGCTCCAGGACGTCGTCGTTAGGCTGCAGGCGGCGAGCACCGCGATTGCAGCACGGCCGCGGCAAGAAGGGATCGCCGATCCGGTCTATGAGACCTCCAAGAGGCTCAGTCCGGGGGGATCCAACCCTCAGCACCACCGCTGATCGATCCTTTGGGTGTTCCATCCGTAGCCAGACATGAGAAAGTCACCAGTCCACCCCCATGGCTTCGTCAAACAGCCAGGCAATAATTTTCCTGATCTGTCGCTTAGTGAACACGACTATGCGTACAGTGATAGGTATCCATCGGCTTCATGTATACTTCGTTTGCGACAAGAGAAGATATTAGTATTCACAATAAAGGGACAGAGTTTAATCAAAAGCGTCCTTTTACTCGCAAGCTCAAATCAATGGAAAAAATAGCGTGTGATGACAAAATATCATGGCTAAAGCTATGCAATTAACGAGACATTGTACATTGATTTATTTAGCGAGGCATTGCACAAAATGTTGTAGTGTGCTATTAGCGACGATATAGCGTGCTATTTTCTCACTGGCTCAAATGCATCCGCAATGAACAGTAAAATATAAAAAAAAACTTTTCTTGGCAACAAGGATTGACGGATTATCTACATATGTGAAAGTTTTCCTGAAGAAAAAACATATCTAATGTCTTGGGAAAGAAACAGATTCAATGCTTTCAAAATTAGTTCTTTTGGAGCATTGACCTTTTTCCCATAGCATAAATGATTTTCCTGATGAACATTTGTACATATGTAGACAATTCGTTAATGCTTGTTGCAAAAGAAAAACTTTTTTTACTATCCTTTTCAGTTTTTACTGTTCATAGGGAGCATTATCCATTTGGTAGAGCGCCTCTCCCTAGGGTTAGGATAGGAAATGGTTTGGGAGTCTCCAACGTAGCGTACAATGATCTGATGTCACGTCATGCATCCGATCTGAGTCAGAGGATTGTTAGTCCATGATTTGAGAGTGTGTCCATTGTTTGCTTTTTTTCGAGCTAGACAAGAAATGGGAATAGCCTTTAACTCCCCAGCTAATATATTTGATCAAAATGGGCTAAAATCCCAGATGGTTACAAG